ATCTATCTATCTATCTATCTATCTATCTATCTATCTATCTATCTATCGCTTACGTGATTCAAAAAGCGCTTGTTGCCCCCTGCTGTTTGGGAGGATCCTCCTTGACGTCAAGCCTTTTCCGGTTTTGGATAGTTTTGGCCAATCAAGAACAAGTACAGAACATTTCTCGGCCAATCGGATCCCCTGGTTTGTTTAAAGGCTTTAAACAGAGGGACATTTGAAATCAAACAGGCAGACTTGGTGGAAAGTAATGTCCGGTCACATTTAAGAAGGCGAACGTGCACTGGTTTAGTCTTAATTATTTTCTTTTATCATTGACATTACACCTCGTACTGATACTTCGATAGCGTTGGGAGAAAAAACAAAACAACTATCGCAACGTTTATGTTGTTACTTTTGTATGTAGCTAGCCACGGACGCCAGCTTCAGTCAACTGACCGACACAACTGCTAGCAAGATTTCGTAGCGTTAGCTGCTCGAACTCCAATAACTGGAGATTAGCTCAACCGACGGGGGTTTCTTACCGTCTTCGTGCAATAATATCTATAGGTAAGTCACGGTATACTGCGACTCGCAACTTAGTCTCTTCTGACGTTTTAGAACGTGAGCCAACACAAGCCGTTGTATGTTAACGTTAGCAACTACATGTTGATGGCTGATATTATAAGAGCTGACGCTGTCTGCTTTAAAAGAGATGATCATTTTTATACTCGTAGTGGTCATTTCAATGAAAAATAATACTTCGGCATCCTCTATCGTTTTCATATGTCTGGTATTTATTCAGACGTGTTTTTAGCTTGAGTCGTGCTGTTCGAGCTAAATCTCCACCCTTCTCTGCTCAGAATATGGACTCCGCACGGGAAGTGGCAAATGGCACAAAACTTCATAAGCCCGAAATGAAGGTGAGGGGGGTTACTATAACCAATATCTTATAATGAGAGCGCTCAAATCTGAGGTGGTGGACTGCTTTTATTACTTTTTTCGGCACACAATGATCATGCTTGGGTTTCAGCCACGGTGCTTGCAAGCTGTGTTTGTTGGTCCACGCATGTTAGAATAAGAACTTTAAGCACAAAATTAGAGAGACCTACTTATAAACATGCATGGATGTACAAAAGGTCCAACAAGCTGGATGGCAAGTAACAGAAACAGAAAAATCAATTAATAATTGCATCCCCAAACAATTAGAATTGATAAAGTTTGTGTGTTATGGTTGTAATTATATGATGGTCAAAGAAAGTGCTGTGATTATTATTTTTCTCTTCCTCGCAGTCAAATGGTGAGGGGCCCAAACGGATTTCTGTATCAAAGCAGTCAAACGGGGTCCCGAAGGCTGCAGTCACACCAGTCCAGCGGGTGCTTTGTCCACCGAATGGTCCTCAACGCATCCAGCGACCTGTCAGCCATCAGAAAACAACATCTAGTGTTTCGGTTGTTATGAAGAACACAAACCCTCGTGACCAAAATGTGAACCCTGCCAGTCAAAAGATAAATCCTACACCACAGCAAACCACACCTAAAACCGGTTACCAGCAGAACCAGCAAGAGATGCGTGTTCACAGTGTGAACCCCGATTCAGCCAAACCACCTTCAGAATCTGGGAAGCAGGAAAAACCATCAAGTAAGCTGATATAAAAAAAATTAAAAAGAAATCCATAGTCTTCATATTTTGGATGCTAATATGTATGATGGTTTTCTATTCCCTAGACAAACCTACCAAAAGTGATCAGTCTTCTGCATCAAAGTATGTCAAGTGTCTCTTTTCCTGCTCTCCTACATTATTCTGTAACCTTATAAAACCTGGAATCCTCTAATCTGTACGCTTCTGTGCTTACACAGGAAGCGATGGAGCCTGGAAAACTTTGACATTGGCCGCCCATTAGGAAAGGGTAAATTTGGCAATGTCTACCTGGCCAGAGAGCGGCAAACGAAGTTCATCTTAGCCCTGAAAGTGCTCTTCAAGAAGCAGCTGGAGAAGGCCGGGGTGGAGCACCAGCTGAGGAGAGAAGTGGAGATCCAGTCCCATCTCAGGTAGAATGCGATCAAGCTTTGTCTGTTTTCACCAGAGCTGTGGAATAACAAAGACATTTCTGGTAGAATGAAGCCTGGGCTGATTATGGCTGTAGCCTAGCCAGGTTTTTATACTGTTGAACTATACTCAAATCTTGGTTGGTGGGATGTTTTTCTCTGTTGGCGTTCTGCAGACATCCTAACATCCTGCGCCTCTATGGTTACTTCCATGATGCGTCTCGTGTTTATCTCATCCTTGAGTATGCGCCCAAAGGGGAGTTGTTCGGCGAGCTGCAACGCTGTGGATGTTTTCCAGAAGACAGAAGTGCCACAGTAAGTGTGCCACTTCTTTAATTTCAAATAGAATTCATCACATGCAAATTCTATTAAATGTGTACACTAAACAAATGTTTAGGCTTTTCTTTGTATTTTAAGAATATTGATTTAAAAAAACAAAAACAGATTTGAATCCTATTATGCTTTATCTGCTCATTAGTACATTATGGAGCTGGCAGATGCCCTCAACTACTGCCACACAAAGAAGGTCATCCACAGAGACATCAAGCCAGAGAATCTGTTACTGGGAGCCAATGGGGAGCTAAAGATTGCAGATTTTGGCTGGTCTGTTCACACCCCCTCTTCCAGGTAACCGCGTGTTGAATACCTGGCGTCTCAGACTGTGGCTTGCAATAATTGGCTGTAGTGCCACAACACTTTGGCAAGGCTGGTGGAGGATTCTTTTGCAATTATCTCTCTGAGCGTTATTGGAACATTTTGCTTTATTCTGATTTCCTGTCATGTGCAGGAGATCCACTCTGTGCGGCACACTGGACTACCTTCCTCCCGAGATGATTGAGGGGAAAACTCATGATGAAAAGGTGGACCTGTGGAGTTTGGGAGTCCTATGCTACGAGTTCCTGGTTGGAAAACCCCCATTTGAATCAAAGACTCATGATGAGACCTATCGCAGGATTTCAAGGGTATGAATACTGCCTAATGGCAACCGTTGTAGAATCACCCGGGGGCCAAAGTTGAGATGCACCCTACATAATATTCAGCTGAATATTCAGTACATTTATTGGTTATCTTTTAGTTATTTACCAGTTCATTGTTGTTACCATAGTGCATCGCTTGTATAGTACATAGTGCTGACTCGGCACAATAACGTTCACGCCTGTCAGTAGTGGGTCTCAGAGTTGGCAAGACTTTGTACAGTTATGAATTGTGTATTTCCAAAGGCAGGGAACTTTAATTTAGATTGACAGCAGTTCAGGTTTTTGCTAAAGTTACTAATTACTACTGGACTTATAAGTGAGAACGCTTCAGTTCGTCTGCTTAAATGGTGGTTAAATCATCTGCACCACAGGTGGAGTACACCTACCCTGCACAGACTGCCATCAGCGACGGGGCCAAAGACTTGGTTGCCAGGCTGCTGAAGCACAACCCCATGCGCAGACTGCCCATCGATGGAGTCATGGCCCACCCCTGGGTGCTGCAGTACTCCACCAAGAAGCCGACCACTCTGAACAATGAGGAACCCAGCCAGTGATTTGTCCCGTGATTCTTCAACAGAACCTTTTGGAGCGTCACTGTGCAGCTGAACTCTTTGAGCAGCTTCTACCAGGATTACAGAGTCAAGCAGCTGTTCTGTTGTCTCCCACTTCTACCACTTTTTTTGTTTTTCAGGTTTTATCTGTTGTCCTGTCTACATGTAAATATTTCACATTATATTTTCTTTTTTTTGTTGCGTAATTATGAAAAATGTCTCTAAACTTTCGTGAAATGCCGATACGTGAAATGGCCAATCTTATAAGTAATGTCACTTTGGAAATATTAAGTTGTCAGTGATGGTATTTTTATTTTTTATTTTTTTTTATTTTTATTAAAAATTTTTATTTTTTTTATTTTTTTTTTATTAGGTTTAAACGTCAAAATACAGAATGTGCAAAAATATATGAACAAGATATGTTGACTTTTTTTTCTATAACAGAACCGAACATAAGTCGTACAGTACACATGGATAAGCCTTCCCAAATAAAATCCAGAGGAATAAGATTAAAAGTGAGAAAAAATAAATAAATAAAAATAGAAGAGCTGGGTGGGGGGGGAAGGATTTAAGAAAAAAAAAAGTGCATCAATGGGTATTAATGACAGACTAAATAATTTGATAAGTAATATGATAATGTAAATAGAGAGGTCAGGCAAAAGCAAAATTTAGTTGGGCACCATACGGGACGGCAATGTCTGAATAAAATCAAAAAACGGTTGCCAAATCTTCAAAAATTTAGTTGTGGAACCTCGTAGGGTAAATTTAATCTTATCAAGTTTACTAAAGTGTAAAGCATCTTTAATCCAAATTTCAAATGAGGGAGGTAGAGCTGATTTCCAGCACAGCAATATTCTACGCCTCGCCAACAAAGTAAGAAATGAAACCAGATCAGCCTTAAGTCTTGACAAAGAAACCGTCTCAGAAAGTACACCAAACAATGCAGTTAGGGGATGAGGCTGGATGGACATATGAGCTACTTCAGACAAGGCTGCAAAAATGTTTGTCCAATATTGCTTTAGTGATGGGCATGACCAAAACATATGGATCAGTGAGGCAGGTGTTTGAGGGCAACGATCGCACTCCGGGTTAACGTTTGGGTATATTTTAGAAAGCCTGGCCTTAGTCCAGTGAGTGCGATGCAGGACCTTACACTGAATTAGTCCATGTCTGGCACACAGTGACGAACCATGTACACGGTAAAGAATTCTATCCCACAAGTCATCTGGAAACAGAAAACCCAAGTCCTCTTCCCATGCCGCTTTGATTGAGAGAATTGGGGACTCACGAAGACAGCACAATCTCTCATACAAACATGAAATAGGACCCTTTTTCGGTGGGGGAGGTGACAAAAGTTTATCCAAAGCATAAACAGGAGGTTTAGAGGGAAAGAGAGAAGTTTTTTCCTTAACATAACTTCGGACCTGTAGGTAACGAAAAAAGTGGCTCTTTGGGAGGTCAAATTTTGCAGAAAGCTGATCGAAAGAGACGAATGTACCCTCCTCATAGAGGTCACCAAAGCTTTTGATACCATGAGAGAACCAAACGGAGAAAGCACTATCGATCATAGAGGGCCGGAATAAAGGGTTCTTGAAGACGGGAGATTGTAAAGAAAAAAAGTTTAATTTAAAATAGCGGCGGAACTGAAACCAAATTTTCAGAGTCACCCTCACCATTTTGTTGTTCGGAATTTCAGCCCCTGATAGCAATTTGGGAGCATAAACTAAAGCAGACAAAGACGATCGTATACAGGATGAGGTTTCCAAATCCAACCAAGCCGGGGCACTGTCAGAATCATTTGCCTTTAACCAATAATTAAGAATTCTAATATTGTATGCCCAATAATAAAACATAAAGTCCGGCCATGCCATTCCACCCACACCCTTTGGTCTCCTAAGATATGATTTACTAATTCTAGGGGGTTTATGATCCCAAATAAATCCAGTAATGATTTGGTCCAGTTTGCTAAAAAAAGAAACAGGGATAAAAACAGGGACACACTGAAAGAGAAAAGAAAACTTGGGAAGCACGTTCATTTTAATCGTATTAATTCTCCCAGCAACAGATAAATGAAGCAAAGACCATCTACCTAGGTCTTGTTTGATCTTGTCCACCAACGGTTCAAAGTTCAATTTAAAAAGTTCGCAAAATTTACTTTTGATCTTAACCCCTAAATATGTAAAACCATCAAGGGCAACCCTAAATGGGAGAGAAGCAAGTGAATATTTTCGAGCCCCCGAATTCAATGGAAAAATGTCACTTTTGCCAAGGTTTAGTTTATAGCCAGAGATGCGGCTAAATTGATCAAAAGTTGAAAGTACAATAGGGACTGAAGAGGCTGGTTTAGAAATATAGAGAAGCAAGTCGTCGGCGTACAAGGAAAGCCGTTGTTCAATGCCTGATCTTGTGACCCCACTTAAATGTATATTGGATCTAAGTGAGATGGCCAATGGCTCTATAGCTATTGCAAAAAGTAATGGGGACATGGGACACCCCTGTCTAGTGCCTCTGAAAAGAGGAAAGTATTTAGAGTAAATGGAATTTGTTTTGACAGAGGCAAGTGGGGAAGTGTATAAGAGCTTTATCCATGAAACAAACTTATTACCAAATCCAAAACGTTGAAGTACATAAAAAAGGTAACCCCACTCCACTCTGTCAAACGCCTTCTCCGCATCCAGACTAATCACAAATTCAGCTTCACCAGAATCTGTGGGGTTATAGAGCACATTAAATAACCGTCTAACATTGGAGAAGGCATATCTCCCCTTAATAAATCCAGTCTGGTCAGGACTGATCAAAGAAGGCAAGACAGTTTCTAAACGGAGGGCTAAAAGTTTGGCGAGAATTTTATAGTCTACATTTAAAAGAGAAATTGGGCGATAGGAGCCACAAGATAAAGGATCTTTATCCTTCTTCAGGATCAAAGAAATAGAAGCCTGTGGCAAGGATGGTGGAAGAGTTCCAGTTTCAAATGAGTGCCTAAACATGTTCAGCAGGAGGGGAGCCAATTTAAGACTGAACTTTTTATAAAATTCGACAGGAAATCCATCCTGTCCTGGGCATTTTGAACTTTGCATAATATTAAGAGCGGCCTGTTACGAAAAGTTATTAAAGCAAACGACTTAGCGACCAAAAAAAGTGTCAAATGAACCAGGGATTAGGAGCGCACCATTATATACATATGCGAGGCTGATTTATAAATAGGGGTGTGCTTTAAAATAAATGTTTTGTCCCTGCTTTTGCGGAGCCTCGAGAAGCACGTCTTCACTCCATGGTGTTTCCGTCCGACTCAGTGATGGTATTGTTTTGTGTGCATTTTGGGCTTTTGTCTCCACTGGGCCTACATGAAGTACTGTTATCAAGTGGTAATGATGCTCTGAGCTCAGCAGAGGGCGCCACATGACCATTGGAAATGGGAGTATTTTATGGATGTTATCGTACCAGAAAGTGATACTTTTGTCTATCTCTGTTGGTTATATAATAAAATATTGAATTTTAAATTAGGCTCACAAATCAGTTGCCGTCTTTGTCAAACTTCTGTGTCTCTTATTGCTGAATTTAAGGTAAAATTTGTCCTGAATTTAACCCAGGTGTTGGATGAGGGCATCTTCAGTCATATGGGTTTTGTCTTTTCTTTTTTTTTTTGTTTGTCCAATCTTATTAGATGTAATTCCATATTATGTCCACTAGGAGGCTCCCAATGATAATATGTAAAACTGAGGCGGAGGTGATAACAAGAAGAAATCCCGCTCATTAATTTTAATTTTTCTCACAACATAATGTAATTGTTGTGCCTTTTGGGGTTTGATTTAAGAGACTTGTTTCCTAATTTTGAATGTCTAAGATTTTAATCTTAAAAGTGTCTCGGTAAGAATTACTGACTGCTCTTAATTTCGCACAATTTGCAAAACAAAACGAGAAAAACCTGCATGATTTAAACGTAGTGTTTATTGTTTGGCGCAGTGGACTAGCCTTTCTCCTCAGCCGTTTCTCACAGCCTCAAACGCGCACGGTGCGTGGCCTCCGAGCGCAAAGCTGGCTTCCTCCGCAGCAGCTGGATCTCTGCAGCCTCAGATGAGGCCTCTCGGAAGTAAAAGGCTCGTCCAGATGTTGCCTTTACGCGCAGCAGGAATTCATCGGAGCGGATGAACAGGTATGATACAGGCCCGCAGCACAACATCTGCGCAAAGGCTGATTTTTTTATTTTTTGTGCTAACCTGTCCGAGCTGGAGGCGCAAGACCTCTTTAAAAAAAAAAAAAAAAGACTTCACAGATTCAGAGTCACGGGACTGATTAAGGGACCCAGATTAATTATGTTTCCCCGCAAAGCCCCGTTTCACCCAACACCGACACACACACAGCAGCAGTGACTGGATTTTGTGGCTCGGAAGGAAGGCCTGAGCAGACCAGCCTGTCGTTAACTTCACAAAAATGTGACTCCCACCGACCACCGTTTTCTCTTTTTTATTATAGAGAAGAAAAAAAAATACATCTTCTGACCGTCTTTAGTCTTACATAAAGCCACACACAGTTTTACAATATAATTTCACGCATTTCTTTATTTCTTCAATATTAATTTCACGATATATGATAACGACTTTGAGATATACATTCCATCTTTTTGAAACCACAATTACACACTACACATACGGTTTTTATAACATTTCCACAGGACCCATTGGATTGCACAGAATGAAAAATGTCTGTATGCACATTTTCCCTTTTTCATTTTATCTTACTTACTTTTTTCTTCTAAATTTCACTTCAGACACCGAATTTCTGAAGACGGAAGCCTTCCACATAAATTCAGAGAGCAGGCCGTATGGTTTAAAATGCAGCACGATCAAAGTGAGTGTGCTCGTCCACGGAGAATTTGGGTCACGACGAGGGGTTGGGCGTTGGGTGAAAGTTTGTTATTGCCGATTGAGAAGCTCAGTTAAAGAATGGAGGAGTAAAAGGAAAATCACGTTCACGCTGAGGAACTGAAATTTCTATGTAAATATTTTTAAGTCTACTTCCCGGTTGCGTCGTGTGTTGTGTGTGTGTGTGCGCGCGCGTGTGTGTGTCAGAGATAGGCTATCATACATTCAATGCATAGTTTGTACAGCTGCTGTGTTCGATCTGGGATTTTTGCATTGTCATGGAGAATTTCCGAATTTTGGGAAATGTTTCCTGGTGTAGTCACGTTTCCCGACTCCTTGCCACTGTGACCTGTGACTTTTATTTATTTTATCTTATTTATTTATTCTTTTAGTCCTCTTTCTGGCTCTAACACCACACTCACGGCCTCCCCAGTCATGTTGGGAGTCATCTGGAAATAGTGACATTTCCTTATCAATCTTACGTCCCTTCTTAGATTAATCTTATCGCCAATAAATGACATTTTTTCCGACCGTTACAAACTCGAGCGTTGGATGAAGTGAACTCTTATGTAGCGAAGCGCCACGAGCGCGACGAAAAGGCAAATGTATCCTTTTTGCAACTTGGTTTCAGGTCGGTTTCACTGTAAACGTTCACTCCACTGGAAAATGGGTATTTATACAACGTGTATTTTTTTTCTGTTTAAGGTTTAGTGGATGCGTTAAATTCTCCCGCTTCCTCCTGTCTGTGTCGGCGTGTTTGTGAGTGGGAGCTGATGGAAGGAGTGCCTGTGTGTGCGAAAATGTCCGTGTGTGTGTGTCTGTGTGTGTGCTCTGTGCGCGCTTTTACGCATGAATCAAGCAAAGGGGGGGCACCACTCGCAGCGGAGTGGTGTGTTTTTACGTTTTCACTAAAATGGGAATTCGCAGTTAACATCTAGTTCCAGCTATGGCTTTGCGTCTTATTCTTCTATGTTATACTTGAAGGCCTCTATGAGCCCTTCCATCGAATGAATGAAGCCAGAAATACTGCATATACCTCCTATTACGAAGATGGAGACGTCGAAGAAAACCTGGTGCCACTGCAGCTTTCTCCATAAAAGCTTGAGGTGGAAGATGCTGGGGAGCAGGAAGCAGAGGCCTGCGCCCGTCAGGCTGCCGGTGAGACCCATGAGGAGGGCGAAGTGTGGCACGTAGATGGCCATGAGCAGCGTGAACACCACAAGGCTACATCGGAGGGTCAGTCCCCAGGACTTCAGGCGCCCGTCGCCTCCGTAGCAGTCCGGGAAGTACGAGCGCCCCCCGTCTTGGAAAAAGGTTTTCTCGAACACCTCCACGGCGGCGAAAAACGGCAGCGGGTAGGACAGCAGGGCTTTGGCCACGAGGAAGAGGTTGACGACGGCGCGGATGCCCGGGGGCAGGTTGTCCGTGATGACCTCCTTGGTTTCGTCGGCCCAGGTCAAGTAGGCCACCAGGGCGAAGAGGCCCTTCAGGATGCAGGCAGCGATGTGAGTCCATTTCATCATGCAGTGGAACTCGCTGGGTTTGTGCATGTTCCCCTCCAGGGACGGCAGGAAGATCTGCGAGGTGTAGCTGAACACGATAATCCCAATGGAGATGGGGAACTTCTTGACGTCGATGTAGAACTTGACCTTGTCCCAGGCCCAGTCCCTGGCCCTGGAGAGGCAGTAGGCGATGACCAGGACGTTGATGACGAAGTGCGCCATGGTGCACAGCAGGCTGAACTTGGAGACGGCCTTCAGGTTCTTGAGGAATGCGCAGGGCAGGAGGGCGGCCGTGGCGATGATGGCCCACGACTTCTGGGAAATGGGCATGTTCGGGAAGCTGTTGACCATGAGGTTGCCGCTGACCACCACGTACAGGATGCAGGTCATCACCAGCTCTATGATTTGGGCTACATTCACGACGTGGCCGCCCAGGGACGGGAATCTGGGCGCGCAGCAGGCGTTGGCAATGTCCACATAGGAGTCCCGCACGCGGACCAGCTGCCCGTCTTCGTCCTCCTCGTACAGGCAGGCAATAAGGATTTTCCCCGTGTAACAGCACACCACGGCGGCGAAAATAATGAGAAAGAGTCCGAGGTATCCTCCGTGCAGGATGGCGTACGGCAGCCCCAGCACAAACATCCCCTAAAAACAGCAAGGAAGAGACACATTATGAATGCCATGAAGTGAAATTATAATGAAGGATTCTATAGATAATGCCCTGGTGTTTAAACAGGCTGTGTGATGTTATTTTTCTAAAAAGCTTAAATCTCCAGCTCCTATTTAACGTGGGCCTTGTTGTTGCTCGGCATGACTCTTCAAAGGAGCGCGTGGGGTGGGTTTTCCACTTCGCTTTGAGCGCATCCGCCCGCCTCTGACGTCATTACGAGCAAGTGGAGACACGTGCTGACGTCAGGGTGGCTGCCGTGACCGAAGCCTGATAAGGCACAGAAAAAAAAGAAAAAAAAAATGGGTCCTGGGATGTTTGTCGCATAGCCTTCAAGCTCTGACACTAGGAGCAGCACATGCTTATGTGTGCCTAACTACAGGTATTTACGCAGTGTGCTCCTGTCTTTAGGAGCGATTTTTTTTTTAAATATGGGGCTCATAGGACTCTGTATGCATATATGAAATTTCTTCCAAAGCTTCCATTAAGCTTTAATTAATGTAAGTGCTTTTGGCTTTGACCTATCATCTCCAAAATATAAGAAAATAACATTTTGTGACAACCCAAAGGTTTCAAATGTTTTTCTATTTGCAGCTCAAAGTTAAAGAGTACCAGGAACGTGACGCTGGGCATCAGACAAAGAATGTGGTCATTAAGAGGTGATGGAGGAGGCGAGTGGGAGAACAAAATGATCTCCCTTCTTTACTCCCCCCCCTAAAAAATGAATAAATACAAAAATCTCTCTAATCTTTTGATGCAAGGCAATTAGATTACTAAGGCGTTTAATAAGGCGTTTTGGTGCGTTTGTTTTTTCTTTGATCAAAAAATGATTTGCTTAAAAACCGATTTAAAACCACTTGGCGACTTTTTGGAATATCCATGAATACATTAATGGACATCTCGAGAGGTCGCAGGTGTGCATTTACTTATAGAATTTCACAGTTGCTCTGAAGCAGGCTCAGCCAATTAGACCCGCCCGTCTGTGGTCCCTGCTGCGCGTCTTTTTTTACCTGGATCGCGTTCGTGACGTTCCAGCCCGCCTCCCATGCGGTGATTTTTGGTCTGACTTCGGTCAACTCGTTGTTCGGACCCCCGTCTTTGGACGCGGACTGCGGCGGGCCGGTGCCGTCCCTCTGGTAGTGACTGTCCCCGTCCAGCTCGCCCCCCTCCCCGCTCCCCTCTCCTCCGGCCTCGTCGGACGTTAAAATGTCCATCTGCATACCTTGCCGGTGGTCGTAGTCCAGGTCATCGCAGGCGGCGAAGCCCAGCCCCTCCTCGTCGGTGGCGGCCTGGAAGCCCATCCTGGCGAACATGCCGCTCACCTTCGCCTGGGATTTGTTGGACACCGCCGTGGCCGCATTTGACAGTTTATTGGAGAGTTTTCCTTTGATTAACGTCGCCATTTTTCCCACTCCTCTCGCCGCCTCTAAAACGTCTGCTGCCTAATTAATTCTTATTCCTCCTCCAATTAGTTGAAACCAAAAAAAAAAAAAACGAGGTTACTCTGAATTGCAGCTCCTTTTTCTGTGCATCAGACAAAGCCAGAAGGGAAGGGGAAAAAAGCAACAAAACAAGTTTTGACTGTAAGACACCGACGGTTTTCAGTTGCTATCTCCACTTCTTGTTGAGAGTGCGGCTGATGCTCTTGGTTTTGCCCAGGTTCATGTCACCTTCAGACGTCGCAGCTCCCTCTCCGCGTCTTGGCTTCGATGGTCGACGTGTAGCGCGCTTCTTCTCCACTCTGAGGCTGTTCGGCAGCGTGCGCAAAGGCTTTACGCACCACGAAACGCGCGCCACAGGTTTTCCTGCCAGGCCTGTATGTGCGGGGTGCTTTTTCTTTCGGGCTGTGCGGGTTGGCAGCGGGCAGCTTTTTTTTTCTCCTGGAGTTGCTCGTCGGTGTTCAGGTGCCTTTACTGATGCCAATGCGGTACCGTGGAGTCCGGAGGGTGGGGGGGTGGGGGTGGGGGTGGGTTGGGGGTTGGAGGAGGCTGGGGGTGGCAGGGAGGAGACACGTGTCTCCATCAGCCTGCCAATGCGAAGCACGTCTCCAGCCCTCCCAGTGCCCCACCAGGAGAGAACGGGAGAGATTTGCTGCATTTCTAGAGGAGGTGCTTGCAGTACCCCCACCACCTCTCCCCCAGCACATAATCTATAATACCTCACCCTAACGTCCAATGACATTCCGGGGGCCTCAAATCTCGCATATTTTTACGCGTATAAAAGGAGGCTGAAATTGGACGAAACCTTAGGCTCTTTGGACCAGATTACATAACATCGAAAATCAACGATCTGCTTTTAAAAAAAACCCTCAAGTTTTAGAAAAGAAGAGGAAATGGAGCATCACAGTAGTCACCTAAATTGCTTCTGGGATTACGCGGATCTGGGTTAATAATGTCGTTGTCTTTGCTCGATCAGGAAAAGAAATAGTCTCTGGCATTTTTTAATGTTTTTTATTTTTAATTCTGAATTATCATATGACCTATAACTGGAGATCACACATTAGTCTTTGCAAAATCCATTTAATCGTTAGTATATGTACATGGAAAGTTTAGCCTTCTTTTTAATTCACAGACTCGTGTTTCCTCTCGCGACACTCATTCATCCACAAACTCATTCATAACTTGTCAGCCGTTCGTGGAAATGATGCAACACTGAGCCGTGGAGGGGAGAAAAGACAGGGGATTTCTTAAAAAAATATGAAGCCGGTAAATTTGACAGAGGCGTTTTTGTCTTTGGTATCTTGATTGGATCTAGAAGGCCTAATGAATCTGTTTGTCCTCAGTAGGCTACAGTAAGTAGGAATCTTTCTTCTTCATAACAATAAAAAGTCGAGTTGTGAGAAATTATACTTTAAACAGCTGAGATTAAACAGTATATACTGTATATATAAAACCATTTTTTTTAAAATACATAATTCGGCCATTGATTGTTATTTTTAAAAATGTACTAAAGTGCGGGTTAATTGTGAGCCTGGCTCCTGTAAACAGTTTGTTGGCACTGGCTTGTCAGAAGCAGTTTGTGTTCACCCTCTTCTGTCTCCTCAGGCTCTGGGATCACGTCTCCTCAGCAGGATTCAAAGCTGCGGCCTAGTCCACTCGATCCACTAAAATAGCCCAGATCAACATACAGTAACTTACACGGTCTGTTTGTTTTGAACTTGGAGGCAGGGGGCTTTTTTTTTTTTTTTTTTTTTGCAAAACCTTTCTGTCTGTTTCTTTTCCTGTTTTAATACTATCCCGGTTTGGGCTGCATTAGAGGACAAACCCCTTTCACTAAATAGATACAGATAAGATATAAGTTTTTATTTATTTTCTATTTTAAATTAATCTCCAAAGGAAAGACGAATATTGGACAAAAATGTCTCTTTCTGTAAATCCTTTAATTGTTTGAAGGGATTTATTTAGTTCCGAGGTAACACGTTTCTGCTTCAGAAAACCATCGATGGAAACGTATAAAGAAAACCTCGTGTGTTTGTTTCGTTTTTTCTTTTTTCTTCGGCTCGATTTTTGTTCGGAGCAAATCCCCCTCAGAGCCAGACTTGCTCCACGGTCACCTCTGAATCGCGCCTATCAGGCCTGCGAATCGCCGGGAAAACCTCTGAATACCGGGCCAATAAATCGCTCGCTCCGATACGTTTCGTGCTTTGTGTTTTGTGTTCGTCTCTCCCCCTCCTCCTCCTCCTCCTCCTCATCCTCCTTCCCAAACGGTACAGTTGTGGGAGCGAAGATGCCTGCTTTGGGCAACCCTGAATGAAAGCGTTAATGACAGAGGCTGTTATCAGCAGCCTGCAGACCCGTCTGATCTGCGCTCTGCGCCCTGCGCTGCCAGATGAAAAGAGGAGGCCCCCGACACCAGCAGGAGACGGCGGCTGCAGACCTTTCCACGACCCGCTGTAGTCATAATTACGACAATGATATTAATAAGTTTGATTCAGGTGCATTGAGCAGCTGAAATATCCAAGTTGAACGATTTAAGGCCATCCCATTGAGGAAAGACATGGTTGGATTTGCTTTTTTTTTTAGTCTTTAGACCTTTTGTTAGCCCTTGGTTACAGTAAGAATCTTTAGTCTTATGGCTGCATGGGAACTCTATTGTTTTTTCCTTTTTTTCTCACAACGATGAGGGAAGTGATGATCCCAGTTTATCACCCATCCTGACATCATCAGAAGGTCAGGATGTCACGTCCCAGGAGGATCTTCATCTCCCCCAACACAGACACGACCAATCACACTTCTTTATCGGTGTCATCCAAGTGTTTTTGTGTTTCTGACCCACATGTGCACCTTTTCTTTCCTATTTTTCCTTTTCTTTTTTTTTGGTGGGCGATAGAACGACAAATCCAAAATGGCATTGTGTGATTTGGGTTTGCCCTCCTTTCCCTCAGCACAGTCTCCCTCCTCCCCCCTCTTTTCTGTGTATTTCCGCCCCCCAGCTCTCCCCTTTTTTCGCATTACACACATGGGTGAGCTGGCACAAGGTTCTCCTCCTTCCTGCAAACCCAATACTCAATCCTCAACCCTTCACCACATCCAAATCACCCCCCCCCCACCACCACCACCCCATTATTTTCCACAATTTTACATTTCAGGGAACATTTTAACCTAAAGAGCCGCATTTCCATGGGCTATAAATTGCCTCTGATTAATACCAATGGCATGAGAGAAAAATAAAAACAGGAAGAAATATACATCATGAAGGCTTTTCAGATGCTTTTGAATGGCTCTGACGTCAAATGGCTCTTTTGGCTGTGCTCTGTAGCTCGCCCATTAAATGTTTTCAGGGAGATGAGGTAATGACATGCACTCCTTGTGTGTGCAAAAAAGAGCTGTGTGAATTATTTGACTCACGAGCCAGAATGTGCCAGCAAAAGAGGGGAGTCTGAGTCAGAGAACCCAGTGCAAATCAAATTTTGCACATAAGACCACTGTATTTGGTCAAGAAATGGTTAAGACTGTGAAGTGAAGCGCTCACCCCGCTCCACATTACCTGCCGTTTAACTCATGATTGTCTGCTTGCTGCTTCCATCCGTCAGCTCAACCATGCAGAAAATGCTACCAACACTCCTCAATTCAGGGGGAAACAGTGAAAAGGCACTCGGCGCTCTCCGGGGACTGTGGAGGAGGGGGGAAATTAGACCCCATCAGGCTAATCAGAGGACCTCAGAGTCCATTAACATTTGCATCACAATCACAGGTAACACAGTGTGTGTCAGCGACTGGGTTGTGTGCCGTTTGTGTTGAGCTGCGCTGTGCCTTCAGATTGATGCAAATTCCCATTTTTGACAATGTCAGAAAGTCCTGCTTTCAGCACCATGGACAGCACTGAGCTGCAGAGCATTCTTAAAGTACAATTAATCAGAATCAATATTTAAATGACCATAGAAGTTTTGTTTTTTGTTTTTGTTTTACTTTAAGAAGTCAGACTCCTCTTTTTCTCCCGTAAAGCTTTCAGTTGTAGAGTTTCTCAGCTGATGTGATCTGCATCGGTCCATTGGTTTGGAGCCGAGCAGGAAGTCAGATATGCGGGAAGACTTCACCTCTTCTTCATCAGATTATTCACATCAGGTTTGGAGTTGCTATTTTCAGAAAGAGAACTGGAACTCTGCACTCCCTGATACTCTCACTGGTCTGAATATTTCATTATGTCTCATAAGGAGCTTCAGGATTATTATGTTTTTTTTTTGTCAAGAAATAATTAAAACATTATATGTACTCACAATCAATATTACATTTGCAGTGTAATATCTTAGAAATATTGAAGAATGGACTTAATATTGGTTGTGTTTACCTTCAACTCTCCTACGTCTTATAGGATATTCATCAAATGACTTCTGTATCTATCAAAACAGAGCAGGCAAACCATTTGATCAAAATGATAACGTGAAGCACCCTGCTGCAGTCGATCCACGGAGCAGTCACAGTCGCCGCCCACTTCCACAGAGACAAATCCAGGTGGTGGTAAACCACTAAGAGCCTTTTCATTACCCCTAATGCGCCTGTTTAATGGCTTATTATGGGCTCCCGAGAGACTTTCTCAGAGAGGGTTTGTATTAGTCTTGCATGGTGGCTTCTGCTGCGCAAGAGCAGTGACAAATAGAGTATCTATCTATCTATCTATCTATCTATCTATCTATCTATCTATCTAT